TGGAAGACAGGAGGGCCTGGTGTGCTATAGTCCATGGGTCACGAAGAGTCGGAAAGGACTAAACGACTAAACAACAACGTTGATAAATCTCTTGCAGCAGCCATTGTCACCACAGAGACAGCCTTATCCCACCCCCTTGTAGGTGTAAAGAAAGAAAGAGGAAAGAGGGCTTGAGCAGAGAAAGGGACATTTCCTGCTTTGAACTGTTTGAGGGAAGAAAGAAAGGGGTGTTATATTCATGTCTCCTCTTTCTCTTTTTTAACCCTGCTCTTCACAATACTTTGTAAGTCTTTTACAATCTGCTTCCTCCTCCCGACACTATTCAAAAGGGAAAAGAAAAATGAAAGCCAAGAACTGAGAGGGAGAGATATGCAGGGAAATAAGGAAAAGGGGAGTGAATAAAGGAGGGATGGGAAAAGGGGATGAGGAGAAAAGGAAGGGGAAAAAGAAAAACAGAAAGTGGAGAAAAGAATTGGGAAGTGAAAATTAAAAAGGGAAGGAAGGGCTGTAGCTGACATATACCACCAGGTTCCACATTGACTAACATTTGGAAGTGACAGGAAAATAGCAAAATATCTCTTACAAATTATTTTAAAAAGAGAACATTTTAGGGCAGTGGGGACCCCAAGAAATAGGATGGCGAATAAATCGATCTATATGAGATGACACATATAGTCTACAGAACTGGTACAAATAGCAAGAAATATACCAACTGGATTGACAACCATGTGAATGGGCCCGATGGTATATACGCCATGTGACCACATGTAAATATAAATTGATTCAAGAAAGGGATGAAAAGAATCAGTATAACTAGGGTTCTTTTGTCTTTTGTCGTGTGTAATTGAGCCATAGGATAAGAAAGAGAAAAATCGATGTACGTTTTGACCTCCAGCCCTGACAAAGCTGTCCACGTGTGTAATTGAGCCCTGGGATAAGAAAGAGAAAAATCGATGTACGTGTAAATAATGTCTGAGGGTTACAATGGGAAGGGTTTCAAATAGAATACACCAGCAGTACTAATTACAGTTTAATACTGATTGATTGAAGTTGAACTGTAAACACACAAGCAGACACAAACAGTTACTTTTTTTAAAAAAATGCTGTGGGAAGCATCCACTTTGAAATGCTAGGAGAAAGGTAGAAACAGCAAAGGGTAAAGCAGAGGGGTCAGCACTTCCTACTTGGTTACATTGCACCCACTGGCACACGGGACGCATGCAGCCCCCAAGGCAGGTTTTGAGACTCAAGGCCTAGTGGCTCTTATGACCCCAGAGACTAATAAAATAAAATAAACAGATTTTGAAGAGAAATAGGTTTTATTGGTTTACTTGTGGAAGAATTACTTGTGGAAGGCAAAAATGTTGACCTCCAGCCCTGACAAAGCTGTCCACTTCTAGTATGGGATAGAACATAACAACAGGAACACAGAAGGCAAGTACTAGACTCCCCAAAGTCTCAATAGTCAACTGTAATTCTGCCTATACCTTACAGGAGAAATGCAGTTATTTTGTACCACTAGGAGGACCATTCCATCTAGAGAAATGGTTCCCAACCCTGGGTTCCCAGATGTTCTTGGACTAAAACTCTCAGAAGCTTTCACCACTAGCGGTGTTGGCCAGGATTTCTGGGAGTTGTAGTTCAAGAACATCAGGGGACCCAAAGTTGGGTATCCTAGGAGAAAAAAAATGAGAGGATAACCAACACAGCCTGGAATTAAAACATGTGTACTGTATATTGAAGATATTCTCTGTCAAGACTGAAGTACAAGCAGACCCTGCATTACAAACATTTTCCAAAGTTGGGTATCCTAGGAGAAAAAATGATAGGATAAGCAACACAGCCTGGAATTAAAACATCTGTATATTAAAGATATTCTCTGTCAAGACTGACGTACAAGCAGACCCTGCATTACAAACATTTGAACAAATGTTGAACAAACAACATTTGTTCAAAAGTCACTTTTCCTTTGCAATAGGTCTTCATCTAAGAAGCTGGAACATTTTTGTGTGCTTGTCCTTTCCTTTGCTAGCTGATATTTCCTTGAAAATTCTTCTGTCCCCAACTGCTTTATTGTGTGCAGTACCATTATTTCTGGATGCTTCAATTCCATATCTGCAATCCCGCTTGGATTGTGTGTTAGGATTACAATGGTCTTTCCCCTCTACCTATTTCTTTTAAAGATTCAAATATATTTGAGGGCCAGTGCAATGCAGTAGTAGAGTGTCTGACTAGGATTCAGGAGGTCTAGATTCAAATCACTGTTTTGTTGTGGGAACCAACTGGGGGGGGGTGACAATGGTAAACTCTTCCTTGAACATCTTAAGTAACTTATAAACCCCATTAGGATGATCATCAGTTGGCCACCACGACAGCAACTTGATGGCACATACCAAGAAAAATCATATTTATAGATGGATTGTTAGATGAACAGATTTTGTACTTCAGCAGGAAAAGGTATTACTTTTTCTCTTGAATACTTACTGTAGTGACATCAGAGTTTGGAGGGGTCATCTCCACCAGATTAATGAAGTATGGCTCATCCTTCCATACTGGATAGTTATCATTAATGTCCAGCAAAGTGATGTTTACCTGAAATGAATTACAGTGGTCAGAGCCGGTTTTTAAAACATTTAAACTTGCCCTCAGTATTTGCTCTTACAAGGCTGATTAAAACAAAAACAAACAAGTTATAAAATGGTTGGCAGGGACTTGATAACAACGTCTGACAAGGCTCTTTGTGTGTCCATCCTGTCACACACAATGCATCCTTTTACACAAGTGGTTATCTCTGTTTCCCCACTTGATGCAGCAATGCTAAGTCGATTCCGGGAAAAGAGGGGCTGCTCTACAGGGAAGCTTTCAGAAACGACAACCAAATGCAGAGACCTCTACTTACATGTGTATGACTCACAGTAAGCAAATGAACCTGACTGATTTTTCTCTCATCTGGTTGCTTGAGTTATTCACAATATGCTGTGTCATCTTTTTGATGAGCACAATTTTTCTGTGCACATTCTCACCACTAAGAGTATTTGAAAGAGTGTCAGTGAACTTTAAAAGTCACAGCTCTTTCTTGTTCCTTGATGGAACCTGCAAGACACAGGTCTTAAGTTTCAAAAAAATACCCACTCTTTGTCAGAAGAGTTTGCACCAATGCTGTTAAGCTTCTGTCAAAAATGTTTTCAAGGCCAAACACCAAATGTCCATCCGTGACATTAAGTTGTTACGCTAAGATATGGAGTACATGTTATAATTCCTACAAGGATGCTGGTACATCATTACTTTTTGGACTTAATAACTAGCAGTATCAATCAGAATGGTGTCAGGACAATGTTATCTAATAATAATATAACAATATTACTTGAAAAAAATACACAGCATTTTAATTAGAGATCTAAAGCATATTCATAAAATTCTTTGTTCTTCTTAATTTAGGCTGTCTCAACTTTACAGAACACCCCAGTAAAAAAAAAAAATCAAGCTCCATGAGAATCCTTGCCCACAAGTAAGAACAAAACAAGGAGTTCTCTTTTCCCTCCCACCAAAGTCTCTTAATTTGTGCAAATTGTCTCTGTGAAAAATTAGCACTTTTTGCTGCTGAGAACTAAGATGCACATGTACAAAGCAGGAATGATCAGATGGTTGTTTACAAAGTGCCAAACAAGCCCTTGGATGTTTCTCATCCTTAAAAATCCATGCAATAACGCAACCGTCACCGTTATTTTGTAAAATTTGCATTCTTACATTGTGCCACTTCGCAATTTTGCTTAATTCACTCCCCCAAATCATTTCTGTTCTTGTTCTTTTGTTGAAAACACAACAAAATGCACTGCCCTGTTAATAAAGGAGGAGAACAATTTGGGGTTTTTCCAATCTTGCATCCAAACATGAGAAAACCCTAACCCTTAACTAGAGATGTCTCTCCTCCTCCTCCTCCTCCTCCTCCTTTTGGGCACCAGAATCTGGAACGCTTCATAGCCTTGGACAGACTGAACTCTGGCCTAGCTGCCAGTTAGAAAAGGAAATTGTCCCGGTGTTTGCTGGGAAGACTTCCAGCCCAGCCTTTCTCCAAGTGAGCATAATTTGGATGTGAGTCTGGCAGGTCAAGCTCCCATAATGGAGAATTCTTGCATTTAGAATAAAACAAAACAAAACATAAATGGCACATGTTTACTCTCAAGTAAATGTTTGAAAAGCTTTATGCAATAGATTTTGTTTTGGCTCTAAGACATGGTATAGATTAAAGCTATAGCATTCATTAGACAAAAGCATATGGCTATATATTTTTAAATCATATAGTGAAAGAACAAGGAAAAAAATTCTAACTCCTTGCTGCAAACAGGTTCATCTGTTATTAGATCCTGTCAAATAGCCTGGGTCTGTCCAAACTGTGGTATTGCCAGTGTGCAGTATGAACAGAAGTGCACTGGAAATAAAACATGTTGTTAGGTCAGAACATCTGATGCCGAAACAGCTTTCTAAGAGCCCTTTATAGACCTCTAGATAAAACCAGAAGCCTGTGTTCCCATAGCTGACATTTATCCCTAAAGGGGTTTATTCCAGTGTGAATCAGATAACTGTTCCCTGTTCATCAGTGTTCATCTGAGTATCTGTAGATTCAAACTGTTTTGGCTGGGTAAGCACTTAGGATATTGTTCATGTGTGTCCAGATATGCTTAAAGACCAAATATTGCTCAAAGCTGTAATGCCTTACTTTTTAATGATGCATTTTAGATAAGTATTCTCTGCTTTCTGATTGTGCCTTTTAAGGCCATAAGCTCCAGTATTTTAGAATGTAATCAAAACGTCTTCTTTTTTGTATTTTAATTGTGCCTTTTACGCTTTTGTATTTTGGACTAAATTCTGACTTAGGTATTTGCCTGAAACTTAAATTTAGTTTTCATATACTTTTAAATATTTGTACCAACAATGTGAAAGTGATACACATGTTCTTCCATCCAGTGTCAATATGGATAACACCTCAATCGAATACTAATAACAGAAATATAAGTGGATCCAATTCCATAGCATGCAACCCACTTTTGTCACATGTAGCAGTTCTTGATATCGCACAGAAAGTGAGAAGGGGAAAATTATCCAAATAGGAGATTCACACTTTATCCCCCTTCATACATTTATCAGTGTGCTCTAAACTAAGCCCTCAGAATGAGTCTATAATGTTAAGAGTTAAATGAAACAAAAATCTTCTGCTAATGACCAATATGAACCACTGGTCCTTTACCCTGTTTATTGTAAACAGATAATTAGCTTTCAACTAAATTAGCATTTAGATAGACAAGCAGGTTACACTGTAATTGTAATTTAGGTGGCAATTATATATCATTTAGGAATAAGCTCTACTGAACTAACTCAATGGGACTTATTTCTGAGTTCTGAGGTCCCTCAAAATGCAGTGGTAACAGAGGTGAGGATTTCTACAATCAGTGGCATTCATTTTAGCAATAGCATTAAAAGACTCAGTCAGGGGGTAATCAGTCAACATGGCAAACAGTAGGTAATTGCCTTCTCTGTTACTGCACATCTCTTATGGAGTCCAGTGTATTCATTACCATGTGTAGAAATGGAAAATTATATTCAAGAAGAAGAAGAAAAAAATCATGCCACTAACATTGTTCCCACACACCCAGTGGCATTTCACTTATCAGCCAGTTATATTAGCTTGCATGTTCTGGGCTCCTGCTAAGAATATTTGTTGCAGTATTTATAGTTTCAGTATTCTGAATGCTAACAATTGGAGAATGGCCACTTTGTTCTGAAAATATATTCCTTGCTTGAGTGACTCTGATAGGAAGTTTCTTCCATTCCCCCTGACAGGAAGTTTCTTCCATTGGAAGACGCCCAATCAAATTGTTCAGTATCTTATAAACACAATTTGAGAAGCATTTAGTTACATTTGTGCTTCCAAGGAAGACTTGGGAATAACTTACTGCTGCCTTCTAGATCTTTGACAATGGACAGAACATTCTCAGGAGTAATAATATGTATACGCATTCCATACATAACATTTCTTTATGGAACCAACAACAGACATTTATTCCAGTTTTCACTACCGTCATGTTGTGTCATGCTGCTATATTTGGTAGTAATATCAATGACATCCTGCCTACTCCATGATATCTGATGGGCTGTGTTGGTTAACTTTCAGTGATCTTATTGATAATAATAATTATGTGCCATCCAGTCAGTCTGACTTATGGTGACTCTTCAGTGTTTTTTAGATTGAGAGCTTAGAAGTGGTTTACTATTCCCTTGTTCTGTGGGTGCCCTGCAACTGTCTTGTTTGCCCATGGCCACACAGGGTGGCTGTTCTCCTGGAAGTCACAGTGGGGAATTGAACTCCCAACCTCTGGCTCTGCAGCCAGTTGCCTCACTCACTGAGCTATCTAGCTTGCTAGTATGCAATATCTGACTAGCCCTAAGACTAATACATGGTCTTATCTGCAGATACTGTTTTTGCACTGAAGGGGAACCCAGTGTGAAATAATGGTTGTTGTGGGTTTTTCAGGCTCTTTGGCTGTGTTCTGAAGGTTGTTCTTCCTAATGTTTCACCAGTCTCTGTGGCCGGCATCTTCAGAGGACAGCATTCTGTGCTCTGCTGTAGTTTGCTTGGGACTGCTGTCCTCTGAAGAGGCCGGCCACAGAGACTGGCGAAACGTCAGGAAGAACAACCTTCAGAACACGGCCAAAGAGCCCGAAAAACCCAGAACAACCAATTGGGAACTCTCCCGATGTAACCTGTGGATTGAGAGGAGAGATGAAATGGACATTGTGAAGATAATATAACTAAGTATGAACATTGAAAAAGAAAATTTTAATAATTTGGTTTGCTTTCAGATACAAAAGCATTATATGCGAACACTATGGGCCTTGGTAGTTCTTGTTAGAACTGAAGCAAACCAGACATGCAATCAGAATGGTTGCCTTGGTTTTTCACTGTGCTGGTCAATTATTTAGAGTGTTGAAAATTCCCATTAGTTAGGAACCCTGGGGCAGTCACCTGGTAGACTGAGCAGTCACTGATTGTTTGAAGAGTATCTAGCCAGCAGTGTGACTCAGTCAGTGTACTCACTCTCTAATAATGTGGGAGCAGATAGGAAAAACACAGTAAAAATATGAGAAGAGGAGGAGGAGGAGGATAATAATCAGACAGACACACACAGAGAGAGAATGACAAAATAAACAAGCTATAGCATAAATGGGGATTTGGAAGGAAATCACTGAGTGACACTGTTCTGGGCAAAAGGAGGGAATTATATTGATGAGGACAAACAAATACTTTTCTTACAGAAATAAAAGGGAATGCCCTAAAGACACTGGATAATAAAAACAAAGCAAAAGCAAAGTGTGTTACTTATATACCGCCCCATAGCACTTAAAGCACTCTCTGGGCAGTTTATACTTTAATTATGCAAGCTACACATAGTGGGCTGGGTGCTCAATTTACAGATCTTGGAAGGATGAAAGGATGAGTCAACCTTGAGCTAGCTACTTGAGCTTGTTGGGATTGAACTCAGGAAGTAAGCAGAATCTTGACTGCAGTACTGCAGTTTAACCGCTGTGCCATGAGGCTCCTAAAAGAGGATATGGAAAGCTAGGGGCAATTCTAGATGTTATGACTGCTGTAGAAACATGTGGTTGGGGGTAATAATTTGTGTAGCAAATATGTCAAGCGTAAATGCTCAATATGTGCACCTTTACATCTGCATATGGATCTAGAACACTGCTTTTACATGCATATGCGTGCATGGACGACATCCACAATTTACACTGGAGCAGTGGGGAAGTACTGGAGCAGTGGGGAAAAGAACAGTGTTTCCCAGAGCAATAATAATGTGCAGAGCTACCCTAAGATTTTCCTTGGATGGGACCAAAGTAAAGCCATAATTATAATGATGCAAATCAGTTGATAGGAAAAGGAGGGTCAACCATGAGAAAGTTGGTGAGAGACTATAAGGATGTGGTAGAATGAAAGGAAGATCTATAGAAGGCCTTGCCTGGCTCTTGTGTTACCATTATTTGTCCCTTACTTACCCTTGTTTGAATTTCTGCAGTACTGTGCCCTCTAAACACAAGATATGCAATAACCAAAGTAGCACTGCAGATGGGATATGACTTCTATATTGCCTCTGCAAAATGGCTGGCTAAGATGCAGTTACCCACTTATTTATTTGGCCCACCTTTTGGCCAAAAGGAACTCAAGGCTACTAAATAAATGAAAAATTTAAAAATTAGACTGAAAACACACATCCAAGACCATCAGCAAAAAATCCGGGTGCTGAATGCAGCTTAGCCTAGTGGCCTCGTCTGCCTTGTCGATATATGAGGCTCAGATGACAAAAGTGAACACATGGAAAGAGTATCTGCTTTTCATTCCTTTATCTGTGTGTGCCACCACCTCTTTCCATTTCAAACACCATTCTCTAAAGAAACTTTCTGAGCACCATGCCTTGAACAGATTTTTTTGTCACATTAATCTTCCTCTATGCCAAAGCATGAGAACAGCTTATATATAGTTGTTCATGATGACAGCTGAAATAATCGGTAATTTGAGAGATGGTGACTGGCTTAAAATGGCAGGAAGTGCTTCATGGTTGAGCAGGCCTTTAGATCCAAGTCTCCTGACTCAAAATCCAGCATTCTGTACATGTCCCCCCACTGAGAGAAAACTCGTCATTGTGCTCAGTAGGGTGAAGAATAAGTCATTTGGCACTAATGACTCCATACTTAATGAGGAACACTCACAAAGTTATTGGGGAAGTCAATTTTTTTGTTTCTGGTGCAAGGTGGAAAACCGGCTCCACTTCAGCTATTATTAGTTGCAGCTAGCATGGTCAGTTGTGAAGAATGATGGGATATATAGTGCAAAAATACCTTAATGTTCTTTCCTGCCCTAGTGGAACGGTGATAGTGTCACCTGGGTTGGAAGGATTCTAGAAACCAAGAGATCAGATTGTACCTAATTTGTGAAAGTGTAGTCTTCTAGAATGATGTCTAAATAAGACACTGAGGCCACCTGGTGGACATCACACATGTCACATCTCAGAAAACCATCTTGGATATAGCTGCTTCCTCTCTGGGGTGGGCAAGTGATATGAGAACATACACATTCTTAGAAGCAGCAATGTGAAGGTCTTGATTCATACATACATTTAATGCATTTTATTAACATGGTCATTCATTACTGCATTCTACCCAACAAACACATTGTTTTCTGAATTTTGCCACATTTCCTCCTATTGGTTCTAGTGTGTTTGAATAGCTTTGTGTTTTTAATAGCTTTGGTCCAAATCCTGTTGCTTAGCATAGTAAATAGCATTGCAGTAGGTTGACTGAATCAATGCAGATTTGATGAGTTAACTCCTCCATAAGTTCCAATGATTGAAAAGGATTTACTCTAACTGAGGCTCACTTTACCATAGTACATGGCAACTAGAGTAAGCCCACTGAATCAATGGAACTTACAGAGGAGTTGGCTCCAAAATCCTCTTTGAGTCAAGGCACTTTGTTATTTACTATATTAAGCAACAGGATTTTGGCTTATACAATTTAGAAATTCACATTTTTAGTTTGTGCATAATTTCACACGAGTTTTGTGTTTCCAAAATGCCCTGTAAATCAGAAACAAGAGATGCAAAAACATTACTTTCACTGTGATTGTCAGATGCAACAACATTCTTTTCCATTCTCTATTCAAGAAATAGATACAAAGAGCTCTGTCAGGATAAGGTACATCTCTTGTGTAATTATCCAAGGCTGTTTCGTAAGAGAGGGAAGAAGGAGGAAAAGACCACCAAGTAACTCTGACCATCTCTGGGTGGCTGATGCACAATTGTCAGCAGCTGGATCTCTCTGCCAGTTCCCTCAAGTCTTATTTTAATGGTCCAAGACAAATCACTCCTTGAGGAAAACCTTTCATAGCCACAAAGTATTTTCCTTCAGAACATACTTAGAGACTACTGCAATGGGATGTACGCGTATGTCTGCTGGAGGGTTTTACATATGCTCAAGTAGAGTGTGGATAGCTTATTTCTAGATTACAGCTGCCAGCGTCTCCCAGCCTGCAGCTCCATCAGCTGAGGACCACACTTCGCCTACAGATGATTTAAGAGGAAATTCTATTGTACGCTTACCCAGGTCAAGTCAATAGAAGTGGGATATGATGAAAGAGTGAATTTCTCAGTGATTGATATTTATAAAAGCCAAAAGATTCTGTAGTTTCATATATTTAAATTTGATAATTCAAGACACAAGGCAAGCTACAGATGGCATTTCAAGAAGTTTGCTCCAAATCTATCTCACTCATGTATCCTTCTGGAAAGTTAGGTAAATTCCAGAGAAAATGAATGAATGAATGAATGAATGAAATAAAGAATGAATGAATGAATGAATGAAATAAAGAATGAATGAATGAATGAATGAATGAATGAAGGAAGGAAGGAAGGAAGGAAGGAAGGAAGGAAGGAAGGAACGTAGGTAGGTAGGTAGGTAGGAGGTAGGTAGGTAGGTAGGTAGGTAGGTAGGTAGGTAGGTAGGTAGGTAGGTATCATTAAAGGTCCCAAATGACTTCCTTGGGTTGCACTTCTCCTGTTTTCTAATAGTAATGAAGCAAACCTTACAATGTCAGGCTCTCAGATTTTGTTGATGCATAAAAGGTCTGTGCTTTCAAGGCAATAAGGATGCAAACAGTATCCTGAACACTGAAATGGCAAAGTCACTCCAGGGAACAGGCGTAATTTTTAACTTACAGTAGCAATGCCAGTTTTCTGGTTGTGACCCACACCACCGTCCACTGCCCGCACAATCAATATATATTCTGCTTTAGCTTCCCGGTCCAATAAAGATGTTGTAGTGATTTCTCCTGCAAAATACAAGAGAGGAGAGGGAAAAGAGAAAGAAGTATGTTGAATGCTTGCGACTCAATGATGTCTGGAAAACAGAAAAGAGATTTTATAGACTATATGCATGTGGATGTCCGTGCAAATCGTCTTTCACTACTAGTAGAGCCTTATCAACTTCAAATAATATTTACAAACAATATAATTCTTAGGGGAGAAAATATTAGGAACAGAGCACTAACATACATTGTGGAACCTGCAATGGAAGCTATAGTGATGTTGCGCAGAAGGGAAGGAAAAATGTGTACAAGTCTCAAGAAAAGAGTATCAGGTTGCCAGGAAGAAGATGAAAGGAGAGGGAAAATACCTTTACCCCGCACGACGCATACACAAATTGTGCCATTTCATAAAGGACTATCGCTATCTGAGTATGTCTCTTCAATTTGTTCTTAAGTCTCCATGACCTTTCTTCTTATCACTTCTCCAGCAATGAATTGAAAAGGACCAAAATGTTTATGCTCATGCAGCAAGCTAACCATGATGAGATCATCTGTCCACTACCCTGCCACACAGCCCCAATATTCAACGTATACAACCTAGCCACCATTTCTGTTCCTAAGTAAAAAACAAAGCACCTTAATTGTAATATGCTGCCTGCAGCAGACACCTGGGGGAGAGGGTTAAAAATTAATCTAGATCAGAGAACTGCGAGAGGTCAAAGGGTTCACTAAAATACATTTGCCTCCCAAGTTCCTGTGATATCCATTAATCTGTGGACTGGAAAAAAAATTAATCAGTGGGGGATTTTTTTCATAAAAAAATGAGTGTGTCTCAGTGATGGATTGCTCCACTTTGCCCAGAAAGTTACATCCAATTAGGCACACCTTCACAGAGCAGGTTCAGCTAATTTAAGTGAGGGTACTACTACAGTAAAGTTTTCCCACCTTCAAGATACAGAACAGAGAAACACATTTCTTCTTTTCCACTTCCTTGTGTGATACTGTCTCTTGAGGAACATGTCAATAAGAATGCACTCTCATATTAAAACTCATGCTCATCTTTTTCAAAATTATGTTTGGTCTGTAACTAAGAAAATGACACTGGAGGAATGTAGATACAATGTTTGAATGAACCTTTTAATGATGATAATGATGATAATTGCATGCCTTTGGATCTATGGTGACCCTTTCCTGGGTTTCCTAGGCAGAGAATACACAGAGGTGGTTTACCACTCCCTTCTGCTGGGGGCATCATCAGACAGTGCAGCTTGCCCATGACTACATAGAATATTGCTATCTGTTGATCTCGGATGGACTAGCAATAGTAGTATGTATTATAATATTATAATATAATTATATACTGCCTCATCAAACAACAGCTTATGATGGTAACCAACCAAGAACTAAAATATGAGCACTTGTGTCACAGTACAGATAGCATTGCTCATAGGTGATCCATGACCCATATTTCAAATGTGCAGTATTTTTTGACAGAATTAGAGGTGGATAAAGCCAAGGCACCTTCTGGTCCTGTTGTTATGGATACATATCAGCTTGTGGAGCTTGAGTATGTTGAACAGTTTGCTTGGAAAGGGAAACCACAACCACCTGCTCCTTGGATCCTTGCTGACCCAGGCTTTTGAAGTTGGCCAAAGCTATGTTTTCATGCCTGGCTATCAGCTGTGGCAAATGTCTCTTTAAGGGATAGCACAGTCTCAGTGGTACTGAAAGAAGCAATGGGAACAAATCCACACTGTTGAAACAAAGACGTTTAGATCAATGTTCAGCTTGTCATTTCTAGACAAGGTTGCACATCACAAGATGTCTTTGTGAATTCCATGTGGTATCGAAATATATTGATCATTTATACCTGCTCCGGTTTAGTTTTTGGCCTTGATGTTGGATAGAAACTGTCTGGATAGCCTTGGTGAAATGGCTGACTTCAGAGGAGGAATGTGACCCTCTTCATTCCCCTGGACCTCCCAGCAGCTTTCAGCCACTGATCTTGGGTTTCCTTATAGACTATTTCCAGGGGGGCGGTGGGGGGAATGTGGTGAACTGCATTCAGTCCTACTTAGCCTGCAACTGCATTGACAAATACTTTGAGATATGCTCCACAACTTACACAGGTGGATTGGAAATATCTTTTTCAATGATCGTGTGACACAAAGGTCAATGTGAATCAGCTCAGCCCAGTTTTTCCCTCTGCTGCTGTGGACTTCTACTTTTCTAAAGTTGGAATGACTCAAACGGTGTTTTGCTTGTTTGACCATTCGTTTCATTTTACCAAAGGATGGGCACATGACTTTGGTTGCTGTTACTTACACAGGTGGATTTGAAATATTTTTTTCAATGATCGTGTGACACAAAGGTCAATGTGAATCAGCTCAGCCCAGTTTTTCCCTCTGCTGCTGTGGACTTCTACTTTTCTAAAGTTGGAATGACTCAAACGGTGTTTTGCTTGTTTGACCATTCGTTTCATTTTACCAAAGGATGGGCACATGACTTTGGTTGCTGTTATGGTGAGATATTAAGCTAGGGCTGGAAGTTTTGGGACAGCAGGAACACCCACACTCACAATCTTCCTCCCTAGGCATCACAAAGTATATATTTTAAATAAACTACTAGATTTAACACTAGATCACCTTGTCGCTTACACTGATATATTAGTTTAGCACTAGATCATCTTTGCGCAGGGGGAAAAAAGATAAGAAAGAAGAGTAGAAGAATCTTCAGAAGAGCAGTGTCAGAGGTAGGAGAACTAACAGGGGGGAAAAAAAGATAATAAAGAAGAGTAGAAGAAGAAGAGCAGTGTCAGAGGTAGGAGAACTATGGGTTGTGAGCGCACATCAAATCACATCGGATTGGAGGGCCATTGTGAACAGTGGCACTGAAACAATCCAGGGTCTTTATGTGATCACCTGAACCAAATGCAACTGTAAAAATGACTGTGAGTCAAGCCACAGAAATCTGAATCACTCCAGTTTGGCTTGCCAGTGTCGTCACACCCTGAGAGAAAACAGCTTGGAAAATGGTGCTCAGACACTTCTGTTCCTCCTCTTGGCCAGGGGAAGGCACCAAGGTTTTTCAATATCTACATGAAAGCACCGAGCAAACTCCTCTGGGATGTCACCAAAGAAGTATTATCTGATTCTGTTCTCTATCTTCTAATCCCATAGAAGCAGCCAACCCTTGAACAGGTCTTTGAAGGTACCATATGGAGGATGAGAGCAAACTGCCTCTGAAAACTTGTTCAAGGGTTGTGCTGGATCTATAGGGGGCATATATGGCTCTTTAGGCATCAAGAAGGGGCCCCACTAACTAGGTACCAGTTTTGGACCGTGACAGAGAAAGGCAATAGAGGAACTGGGACTGAAGGGCATGAGATTTGGGACATACCCCTTCAAAATAAAAGGCACATTGATGGTGATGCAGTGTGGGTGCACGGTGAAAGCATCATCGAGATGAGAAGATGGAGATCTAGTTGCTACAAGTGCTATGTGCACCCTTTGTTTCTTTAATATGCCTCATTTGCTTTTCAGGAATCAGAGGGCATGGACAGAAGCATGTGCTCCTCTGAGGGGACATAATTTTTCTGGTCAGCAGGGCGAGCAAAGGTGACAGGATTAGGGGCACATTTCAGGCTAGAGGGTCTGGCACCTTTAGAATGGGTATGAGATGGGACAGTCTTCTGCCTGCATTGTTTGGGGAATAGCAGTTGGTGGCCCCTCAGATCACAGTGGTACACCGGGGGGGGGGTTTAATGAAAAGCAAGGCTAATGAAAAGCAGTATCATCTTAAGGGCAGTTTTGGACCTCAGTAAGATATGGCATCACTGGGCAAGGACGATCATGGGATGGTTAGCCATCCTGGCCAGGAGAGTATGGTGAGGGGAAGGAGATACTCCCTGTTTGGATCAAGCAAAGAGGGGCATAAATAGGGAGCTCAAAGCAGGGTTCATCAAGAGTGGGGGATTCTTCATGGAACATCTGGGCATCTGTTTCAGTCATCCAGAACTGTGTAGAGAGGACTGGATACACCTTTCAGATGCAGCAACATGCTGTTTGTGACAGCATGGTGGGGAAAAAGGAGCTTCAGGGTGACTGGGCGCCCTACGTGGGTACCACAATTTCTGGGCTTCTGAGACATCAGTAGAATTGGCCCTTTGAGGTAGCCTCGGGTTACAACCAGCCTCAAATCATGGGATGTGGGCAGACAACAGGCTTGAGGGTGTCTTCCCAGAGGAGCCAGCTGGGGCCATGCTGGAATGGTACAGCAGCGCCCTGGAAATAGAGGCTCATCTAGTCCAGTCCAGAGAGGGGCCTGGCGGGTCCACCTGCTCTGGTTTTAGGTTGACAAAGCTCACCTTTGGTCTGGGGATAGAAATAGTTAATAGATAAATACAGTTGTGGCCCAGTTTGGAAACCACTGCTTGTGCCTCACCTCTTTATTTGCAGGTTGGGAGGCATTGTAATTGTTCTTTATGTACAAGTCACTGAAAGGCTGCATTTATGATTCTGATCGTATGTAATGAAAATGGCTTTATGATCATAGTGGCTGATATCTTGCTGCATAGCACAGTAAGTCACAACTAGAGTAGGCTCATTGTTGCACAGCACAGTAAGTCACAACGAGAGTAGGCTCATTGGGATATGCTGAGTCAGTTACTCTGTAAGTTCCATTGATGGCAATTGGTTGCCACTTACTCAACTAAGCAACAGGATTTAAGTCACTGTTATAATATTCTGCGCTTCTATCAAAGCAGATGTGATTCCTTTACCAAACACACCTTGCTCATTCCTATGTGGATGGTCAGCGTGGCAGAAAAGGGGGAAGGAGAAGCAGCAGAAAATAATAAAATGTACACAGTGAAAAGACCAAAGGCAAGAACATTGAAGAGAATAGCATGGCTGTGCTTACCTGAGCGGGCATTAATACGAAAATGTGAAGATCCTTCCAGAGAGTAGATAATAGATTCCTGGCCATATTCTCTTGATCGGTCAGAATCAGTGGCATTCAGAAACAGCACTGTTGCTCCTTAGATAAAAGCAAGGAATAGGAGAAGTCATTTCCATTCTTGAAACACAATATTAGTATCAATGAAAATATGGGTTTTCTTTGTTTTAATTAATGCATTTTGATGCAGGGTAAAGATTAGATATTCTCAATACATCTTATACTAGGGGTGCGACTAGACAGTGGGAAAAATGTAAACTGGCCTGCTGTGATTGTGCACTTGGGGAATCAGGCTTCCCTGGCTGAATTTGATTTAGCTGACCAGACAGGAATCAGCAGAGAAAGAGGAGGAAATTGGCAATAAGTACTTGCTTGCAGCTTGTTAAGGCAGCTTATTCTGCAGCCATTCAGATTTGCAAAAAGCACATATATAGCAGAAGTACCATAACAAGCTGCAAACAAGGGCTGATTACCAGTTTCCTCTTCTCTCTCTCCTGTCTAGTAGGCTAAAGCAGTTGGTCCTTGTAAACATTCACAAGCTAGTCCTTTTAAACAAGAGCTGGCCACCAATTTCCTCCTCTATCTTTTGCTCTTTCTCTCTTTTCTGCTTTGTTTTGTTTTGTTTTTGTCTCTTAGTTGTGCTTGCATTTCAGCACTGACACCAAGACTTAAAAAAATATGGTTGGGGATGCTCAGTTGAGGGGAACTGACATCCCCATGAGTGGCTCTTTGCTCAGTCTCTCCCCACCTTGAATCAGAAGGCTAGGAGAGCCAGTTTCTGATCACCTATTAAGTAATGAATTTTCATTAGCTCAAGCAATCGCACTGCCTGAGCTGATGCAAATGCATTCAATTGCCAAAAATGTAGATGCCCCAGTAGCATTGGAAAGAAGTATGAATTTGGGGGAAGAACTCCAAGCTGATTTATATAGACTTGTATGTCATGTAGTCGATGGAAAATAATATTAATTTGACTGTTCCACTCCTGGAGCATTTCTTGTATTATTTTTCCAAGTAGTCACTCCTTAAGTTGGAAAATGTTCTCCCTATTTAATACTTGTTAATGTTGTCATCCACTTGATTTAGAAGATTGTGGCAGGGGAAAAACTGAAAGGGACGCCGAATGAACAAATGCATTTTGGATGCAGGTGGGAAGTTTGGTACATCACATTAGATTTTTAAAGGTAAAATAATGGTATATGCTGGTGGACCTCAGCTTTGATAGCCAATGGCAAAGGATCATAGAAATTGCAGTGCAACAAAGCCTACCATTGCCCACCCCTGATATAAATAAACTTTACAGTGAAACAAATCCATATGCTACTACATCACATTGTATATCATTGTGCTTTGCTGAAATGGAGAAGTGAAGAAACTCTATTGAGAGGCTTGATTGATATTCCTCATTTATGTGATATATTGCTATGCACAGTTATTAACAGGACAAAGGAAAGGGTTATAAAACAAAGGAGCAACTTTCATACCTGCCATGATATCCTCCATGACTGTGATGACATAGGAGGGCTTGCTGAATGTAGGAGGGTTGTCATTTTCATCCTGTAGGCATAAAAAGAAAAGCAAGGCACAATGTAAGCTTCCAACATAGCAGCAATTGTTAGGATGATACCAATCTTACATGCCCTGACACTGTTATCAGTGAGAGACGGCTTTACAGCCTAATGTGATTGTTGTTTGTCAATAGCTTGATTGATAAAGTTTTTCCATCTCTGGCATTTGGGGTAAGCCTCCACTGTTTGTTTCTGATCCCACTGTTTTTGTTATTTGCTCTCTCTCCCTCTGACGATCCAAGCATCAAATATGCAGGGGTTTCTGTATGCCAGAGAAACCATTCTCTCCCCCCTTTTCCTCTGACTTCAAATACAGATGATTACTGTAAGTTAAGATATATTATTTCCACTTTAAATGCTTCTGGAGAGATTTTTACCATACAAAATCTTAGTTTTGTGTGCAAGCCAGGGAAGGTTTGATGAAGCTGGGCTGATTTCTCCATGATTCTGTGGTTCTTTTTTCTGCCTTAGCTTCAGGTAACTAAAGGGGAAACCAAATTTCTATAAACCTTTTAGCCCCAAAATCCCAATAACATCATGTCTTTCTACCAAAATTAAGGCCAATTAATAACGATATTGAATGAGTTAGGAAAATACCCTGGCATTTGTTGTGCCATAGAAGAAACCAGCATTTCTAAAATCCTTTTGTCGATAGTGCTTGACAGCTTGAAGAGACGTGGGTAATGGTATGGCCTCCAGCTAAGGTTACTGCTGGAGAGAAGCTCTGGTACTATGAGATAGCTTGTCTCTTTGTGGTACAGCGTAACTTCCCACCGTTGTAACAGGTCTGGCAGAAGAGAGTGCCTAACCAATTTTGAACAGTAGTCTGAATGTTGGTTTTTGCTGAAATGGAGGAATAGCTTAAAGGAAAAATGTTTCTGAATTCCATTGAAGAGAGTTTCTATTTTATGCTCAATCTTTCAGAAAAGGCATATCTGCCAATGTAGAAACACCTTTGGAAAAATATTGTCAACAACTTATAAATTATTCTGGATTGGAGAGTCTGCAAGGAGACATGTGGGTTTACTTCATCATTCTAAGCTTTCCCTTTCTCCATCACACTACTGTGTCTCTGTTGCAAAAGGTGGGGATTTCATTTTTAGATGATTCAAAACCAGACCATTTTACAACTGCAACATACATTTGGATTCAATTGGCTTTTGGCCTAGTCTGCTGTCAAAATTAATGTCTAGCTTCCCCAATAAAACAATAATTATTCTTTTGGCTCCCAACTTCCAGTTGCCTGCCTTACAAAGTTCCTCTGCACAGCAGAATCTACAGAATTGGAAGAGGACCCAGAATGAGTCTCTTATCCAGTCTGCCATCACCTACATCATGACGAGGTGCATTTAAAAATAAAAATCTGGGTTCTTGATCTGAGCATTTATACATGGTGAAGAACGTGTCTGTTTGAAAGCTTGAAACCCCAGAAAGCCCAATAAAATGTAATTTCCTCTATTCTGGCAAAGTGACACTTTTAACATCAGTGCTTTCCTTTTTCAGATCATTAGAAAGCAATACATAAAATCTGTATTATATTAAAACACACCACATTGAAAGGTTTTATATTTAATTAGATGCTTTGTGAATGTTATTCAAGATAAAGGCTTGATAGAAAAGAGTGAGATAGCTAGAAAACTGCAACTGAGCAAAAACTCTGTGCTGTACTTTTTTTTAATACAGAGAAAGTGGTACCCTGGCCTTTAAACCTTGACTGATGCTTTTGCTATTAAAGTCAATATTTTAGGTAATTTCACATGCCAGTGATGCCCATCATGCTATAATTAAATTGCCATCCTCTGCTATTTTTGCTTGGAACAGGTGGTCTTTAATCAGCCTTTTCATCACTCATGATGCTGCAGTGCCAAACATTGTATTGTCCTCCCTATGCTAACAAAGTGTATCTACCACATGTAACTCCAGTGGCATGGCATTTAGCTTCCTTTTGGGATTCTTCAGAGGACAAAGAAGAGGGTGCCAAGAAACTAATGTACAGTTGAAGATGGGAGATGGAATCCCTATCAGAGTGGGCGTGACTTTGTGATGAACTGGTTTTGCGGTGGCAATTAGACTCTTTCCCCAGTGAGGAGGGGAAAAGCACTTGTGGCTCATCTTTTGGGAATGGAGCCTCTCAAGGACACGCTGAAAATTGGCTCCAGCTGGAATGGTGGGGAGGGAGAGGCGTTGCCTGTCTTCCTGAATCTTCAAGGAAGGATGAGCTCTGATTGGCTCAAAGTCTGGAAGGGTCCACAAGTGACAAATTTACGTACGAAAACAGGTAGCGGGAAGACCATTGTTAGCTTACGATGCAATCAGACCTCGATATAGGATCGTGTTGGATCATGCTGGAAAGGGTTGATTCACTGGGTGCAATCTCCTTTAAAGAGATCCTTCTGTGCACATATGATCTAGTCCCAATTGATCCAGTCCAACTCCAAAAACAGGGAAGCCTTGCCATTGGACTAAACACGTCCAGACTGGGCCCAGAGCAGGGCTGGACTGGTTAGCAATTTCTTGTACACTCTGTAGTTGCTGGAAAAAAAGCTTGAAATTGGACTGTGCCACAAGCAATCCAAAGTATACTTTTTTTATCACACTTTTAAGTTTTGTTTAGCATGTTTGTAGGTTCAAGTTCCTATCCTGTTATGCTATTCCTGTGTGATGCATTCTGTGTGTGTTCTGGTGCTATGCTGTACTCCCTGGAATGTAAGTATTAGAGAGATGGCTAGAATTTTATTGCTTTATTCTTGTGATTTCCTGCTTTCCTCAAACTTGTCTCTATTGCAGATTTTTTTTCTTGGTCATCATTGCCCCAAACCACCTCCTGCTTGAGTTTCATGCACACCCAAGGGTGGCTGGAAAGAGAGTGCACAATCACAGAGAGTAACAGTGGAAATTACTGTAAGCTTCCTGAGAATACTATGCTTAAACAATGTCACACTTTGAATACAATTCCATGTTCATCTGCCAGGAGGTTATTACAGGTCTCATATCTCATAAAGTAAATTTTGGTGATCACAAATCTTTATATCTTCCACAATATCTGTGCTACACAGTTAAAGTACTCTGATGCCACTTTGACTGCGTGTGCACCATCCTGGGCTTTTAGTTTAAGGGAGCACTTAAGATTCTCTTCCGGAGAATCTAGTGCTGCGACTCAGAGAGGGCAGTAGCACTCTTCAGTAGGCAATTCTAGTAATAATAATTGTGTGCTGTCCCTTCTGACGCATGGTGACCCTTTCTGAATACTCAGAAGTGGTGTCCCATTCCCTTCTTCTGGGGACACCCTGGGACTGAAAAGGTGAGAGACATTTGGCAACCGTGGAGAAGGAGTGTTTGGCCATAGTCTACGCGATCCAGAAGGCCAAGCCTTACATCTGGGGAAGACATTTTATTCTGTGTACTGACCATTCACCATTGCAATGGTTAAAGACAATGAAAACCCACAATAGCAAACTTATGAGGTGGGCTTTGAACTTACAGGACTATGACTTTGAAGTGAAGGTGGTCAGAGGGTCAGTGAACTGTGTTGCTGACGCCTTATCAAGAAGACCTGAAGACTGAAGACGGTGAAAGAACATGGACTATATGTATATAATGAAGACAAAAAGTTAAAATGTACCTGGTTTTAAATTGGTTTGTATTAATAAAGGTAAAATTGATGTAATGCATATGGTAAATGTTTGAAATGCCTATTTGCTATGTTTAACTTGGAGTGTAAGTATATGTAAGTATTATATGGTATGTATAAATGTTGTTGTGTATTTTATGCAGGTTTGTTTTTTGGTGAAAAGCACTTTTAGCTTTCCCCCTACAAAACAACTTATAAAGAGGGGAGGTGTTACATAACAGCACTGATGTTACCTGTCTGTCATGGGTTTGGAGGGAAAGTTCCATCCTATGGGGAGTGGAAGGCGGGACATCAGGAGGAGGGGCTGTACTGTATAAATATGTGATGCCTGTGTGGTGAAGAGATGATGCTGAGACAGACTGTGAGACACTGGGTTGGGACGAAGCAGCAGCTGGGGAAGAAGAAGCTGTTGTGGGAGTCTGGGTGTCTGACAGGGTACTACTGTGTGTCAGAGTACCAACCTGATAAGTTCAGGTGTCTGTGGGTTAGCCAGAACTGATGGGTTCAGGGTCTGTGCTTTAAGTTAAAGGTTCTAGGTGAACCAAACTGTATGCTGGTGTGTGTGAAAATAAGCCACGTTACTTTATTTTATTCACCTGATTGCTTATTTTTCCCTGTGTGTATTTAAAATAAACTTTATTCTTTTTGTTGTTTAAAAATCCATCCCTGGTCTGTGTGACTTATTATAGGGAATGGTTGGTGGCAGCTTAGTAACTGTGTGATAGATCCCAGTAGGTCTGGGTTTGTCACAGATACCAGCACTATTCTCACCAAAATGGATTCCTATATCCTATATTGCTTCAAACTGAAGAAAAGCTAGACAATAATGGAATCCCAAAATTGACCTTTTCTGTTACGAACAAGAATGATTGCTCAGTATTTGCAACAGTGTACAGGAGTTTGTAATTGGGGAGCTATCATGGTCTGAAACCACACATGTCTGTACATAATCCAAGTGATCTTCATGTACAGTGCTAAATATTGGAAGTGGGGGTTGGTCCATAAGAGAGCAATTGTAGTAATGCATTTGCTCAAGCCCAGGTTATCCCAACCGACCTACTTCCGCCTGCTTCTTTACCCAAAGGTAGGGTTAGGGCCTTAGTTATGTTCCCCTTCTATGGAACCTCCATACTCATCACACTTTGGCTGAATCCTGCGGACAGGAGGGAGAGCCTGAAAATGAGAGTATGAGTGTGATCAAATAAGCCAATTGCCCTGCTTTGAAATCAGAGGGAAGGAGCAACAGCAGACAGAAGCAGTTCTAATCTGGGGAAAAGGTGTATTTTTCTGTTCCTCTATGGAGCTGTGAATCAGTAGGATGAAGTGAGTCCATGACCAAGTGAACGCTTCTCTGCCTTTTTCCCTGTGGGAATGCTTGCTTACTTGCTTGTCTGCCTGAATGTGTGTCTGGGTGAAAACTCACTTTCACCCCACTTCTAGATGCCACCCCAGCATGGCCTTCTGTTCACCAATTACGACAGGCCTCAGCTGCCACTGCACGTAGGTTAAAGGACAAGACTATGCTTCTGGAAAGTATGGCTCCTGAACTTCAGGAAAATGGCTTTTGGTCTGACAGGGCCAAACCTTTCACAATTCATGTAAGACTTTCAGTTTAAAACAAAAACCCAACAGAGACACACCACCGGCCCTGGAATGGTGAAGTTTGTAAATCAATAGCTCCTGTAGCAAATGAATTAGTCTCCTTTATGATATATTCAGGCATAGTTAGAGGTGTTGGCTCACTGCACAAAACGGCACCTAGAATGTCAGTGAATGAGAGTTAGAGAGAAACTTATTAGTGGTGATATTTCCTTGGATGCTGGTATCATGCTCAATATTAGTTCTAATTCAGTAGCTCCCTCTACAAAAGCTTATTGTCCCCTAATGGGAAATCTACAAAGCGAGTTTCACTTCTTTATTAAAAATCAACAAGCAAAAGATGAAAAGAGGGACTCTGTTGCATAGCCATCTTCTTCCTGTTCATCTCTTTCCCACACTGAGACATACACAGACGTAGACACATTTGCTCTTTCATTTCAGCTCCTTAAGTACCACTGTGAGCCAATTCATCATCATCATCATATTCTCCCCCCCCCCTTCCAGTTGAAAGAGAAAATCCCTTTTGGTTGAAAGTGCAGAATATGACAGCTACTTAGAAATCACCCATGTACAAAATCAACTAGAAGGAAATGACCTTTTCAAGTGTGTTCTTTAGACAGATGGGATTACACTGTCCAAAGAGCAGCTACAGGAAGAAGGTGTTTAGCCTCAATTAAAGCCCATTGTGACTCCTTTTCTTACTTCTCTACTACAATCATATGAGGGGGCCAAGGAGAAAAATCAGTCAATTCTTGCAACAAAAATGATCATTCTCTACTCTTTGGTCAATAAATTACTGCCATTTACAAGTCGGATCTGATTAGGATGCACCAAAGATTGAAAGGTCGTCAAGAAAGCAGGCTCTACTGCTGAACACCTCCTTCTAGCTTTCTTGAACCATTTCAATAGTCTGATTTAATCCTGCCTAGTTACAGTAACATTCGCTCTGTTCCCAACACATCTGCACATGGAATTATTCCTGATAAGAATGTTTGCATCAGGATTCAGGACAACAGCAATGAGTTATTCCAACCGGGGACAGCTAACATTTGAAAAATAAACAGCTGGCTGTGATTGATTCAATGACTGATAATTTCAGTCACTTCAAGTGCTAATGTGCATTTGATATTCATGCCGGAACCAGAGCTGTTTGGTTTCAGGCACCTTTAGATCTTTAGGGATGGTGAGGGGAATAGAAAAAAAACTCCTCTTGAATTTCATATAGATGGAAATGATCAAATGATTCTGTTATTAAACATACATCTTTGCTTTATGTGTACCCTTCACTCTGCATGTATCCATAAATTTATTAAGGCTTCACTGGTGAGATCCCCTCAGCCTGGCTGTCAAGAAATGCGGTTCTCTTACAAGCAAGGGTATCACCATTACTAATTCCACACATTACAGTGGTGCCTCGCGAGACAAGTGCTCCATTTTACGACAAAATCGCATAATTTCCTATGGGGAAATCTCACTTTGCGATGATCGGTTCCCTGCTTCGGGAACCGATTCTTGCAAAACGACGATTTTCCTACAGCTGATCGGTGGTTTCAAAATGGCCGTCGGGTTAAAAAAATGGCCGGCCGCTGTTTTCTGGGACGGATTCCTCGCTGCCCGGGCGGCGAAAATGGCCGCGCTATGGAGGATCTTCACTGGACGGTGAGTTTCAAGCCCATAGGAACGCATTAATCGGGTTTTAATGCATTTCTATGGGCTTTTTAATTTCGCTTTACGATGTTTTCGTTCTACAGCAATTTCACTGGAACGAATTAACATCATAATGCAAGGCACCACTGTATGTTGTTGTTTACCTCAGAACTAACTATTGCTTTGCATTCGATCCCAATATTTTTGTATATTTCTGTATATTTATATATTTTAGACATTTTATTTGTGGCTGGTCTTTTGATCGTAATAAAGTTTTATCTATGTATCACACATTATCGTTCTACCCACCGAATAAGTGTTGGCAGTAAAATATTCCCCATTCATATTGAACAAAAATGAGGTTCCAAACATTATTTCTTCTTGTAGTTTTTAAATACTGCAGTACATGACTGCTAGATAGTTCAGTCCTGGCTGTGGAGCCAGAGACTGGGAGCTTGATTCTCTACTGTGCCTCCCTGACAGAGGCTGGACTCAAATTCATAGGTTCCTTTCCAGCTATGGAGTTCTGAGATTGTTGTTGTATTCTCATGTCAGTACCATCAACATTTCACTATGAGGACAGCTAAGAAAAGTGGAAGGATAGTGGAATAGCACAATATTAAAAACAATATTAAGAAAACTTGTCTTAAAATACATCCCACTAATTCTGAAAGATGGTTTGCTTTATGACACCATACACTCTGTACAAATAAGCACTAGTGCAGTCTTGTGGTACTATAAATGAGCAACTCATCTTCCTCTGCAGTAACAAACTGGAAGACAGGACTCCAAGTATCAGTTTTTAAGCAGATTTATATTGAAGAAGACAAGGTTTTTGTTGTTTAGTCGTTTAGTTGTGTCCAACTCTTCGTGACCCCATGGACCAGAGCACGCCAGGCCAAGGTTTTTAACCCCCCCCCCCAAAGATGTAGATGATGTCACAGAGGCATAGTGAGATGAGTGTGTGCAGATGATATGCACACATATATTTCATTATAGCAACTGTTCAGGCCGGTGGTTCCTAATGCTGGGTAACCCAAGTGTTCTTTGACTGCAACTCCCAGAAACCCCAGCCAGCACAGCTCATGGTGAAGGTTTCTGGGAACTGCGGTCCAAGAACACCTGGATTACCCAAGGTGCCTGAGATACCACTGGCTAAGACTACTGCGGTGCCTCTACAACTTTCATAATTAAATATTCATGACATAAGGAATGTTAAAAGGAGCAGGGAGGATTTCTGGCTGCACAGAATATGTGGTGGAAACCCTCCAGCTTGTATAGTTGAAAATCTTATTTCAGGGACACAAAACTGGTGAATCTCTAGGTCAAACTTTGGCTGTAGCTAACGTGGGCTTGACATGACCTTGGTTGGTTCTATCAAGTGACTTTGACTCTTGAAAAGCAACTGATTGACAGGATCACATATGCATTGTGGGGAGGGTGAGGTACAATGGAAAACACTACTGGTAGTGGTACTTACAAACACTTCAATGGTGATGGGGACAGTGCTGTTGAGTGGTGGCAGGCCTGCATCCTTAGCCATCACAGTCAAAAAAATTACACCATTGAGAACTTGCTCATAATCCAGAGGGCGGACAACACTGATCACTGAAAAGTCAAAAAGGCTGTGTTGGCAATTATTAACATAAGGCATTTTTTTAAAAAATCAAACCTCTGAGATGGGCACACATAATGCACCCTGCAACTCACCTCCATAACCTTCAGACAAAGTAATGTCAAAGTAGCTTCGGAAAGCAGAAGCATATACAATGCTGTAAGTGATCTGGTTGTTTGGAGGAGAATCTTCATCTGATGCCTAGGTTAAATCAGAAGAAATGTCTTAATTTTGCTAATTTATATGTGATCTTGGAACTGTCAGAAAACAAGCTCTTGAAACCGCCAACTGAGATTCTTGTGAGTTGCTGGTCAAGCCTTGCCAACCATATCTTTCTCATGCTGTGATAGTTCCATTGGGAAGAGCTAATTATTTTGAGATGCAGAGCAATCCATGGAATGAGAGTACCACTTGGGGAAGCTGATTCGTTTCTCACCCCAATGAAGGTGGGGTTGCCCTGACACAAGGAGCCTCATAATATAATGGTTAGACTGCAGTACTGCATCAAAGACTCTGCTCATCACCTGAGTTCTATCCTGGGCTCAGGTAGCTAGCTTGAAGTTGACCCAGTCTTCCATCCTTCTGAGGTTGGTAAAATGAGTACCCAGCTTGCTGGAGGTGGGGGGAGGCAAAATGTAGCCTGTATAATTATACTGTACTATAAACTGCCAGAGACTGCTTTCAATTCCATGGGGTGGTACTGTATACATTTTATTTTGCCTTATGTGCAAGGAGAACACTTTGCTTTATGTGTAATGTCCTAATACAGAAATGAGACAGAGAAGAGGAGAGGAAAGATGGGATTTGAGGACACCTTGAAGTGTAGGTACATCTCTTGGATAATGCTCTGATATGAGAGAGTAGCTTTGCTGCAACTAGACCCCTATTCCATTATAACGTTTTAAACAGTTCAAGGCAATATGCTGAAAAAGGAACAACTAACCCCTCATCTCTCCATTCTTGCTTTCTACACATGGAGAGCAATGGACCTGAAGGGGACAAGGGTCCCTCTCACATGTAGGCTTTACATGTAACCAAGAACCCTAGAAAACCAGGGCTCTTGCTTGTGTGGAGAGCCTACATGCAAATGGAAACCTCTTCTCTTCAGATTTGGCACTCCTTACATGGAGAAAACAGTGATAGAGAGTAGAGGTACTAGGCACTTCTGATGGGTGTTGCTAAGAAATAGGCAAGTAATACACTGTACAGGATTTCAGGTAGTCTCTGGTTGTTGTCCAAATAATACTCTATTTGTGTATTTAGAAATCAAGCATATATTACAGAAATGACCACAATTTTAAAAAGCCTTTCCTTCTGAAGGAATCTCTTGGAAAATCTCAGTGTTCTGGAATTCTAGAAAAAAGTAATAGAGGGATGGGCAGTGTATGGTGCCTCCAGATGTTCTGGGACTACAGATATCAAACATTCCTCATCTTTGGCTTTACTGGTTATGGCTGATGTAAGATACAACCCAACAACAACACCTGATGAGTCACAAATATGTCACGCTGTTACAACATAATGTGAATGTGTTTCTTCTTGGACATTTCCCCAAAACAGCTAGTCTGAACTGAACTAATCGCCCCAGAGGGAGACCACAGCTGCGATACAAGGATATCTGCAAGCGGGATTTGAAGGCCTTGGAAATGGATCTCAACAGATGGGAAACCCTGACATCGGAGCGTTCAGCCTGGAGGCAGGTGGTGCATCATGGCCTCTCCCAATTTGAAGAGACTCTCGCCCAGCAGGCTGAGGCAAAGAGGCAGTCACGAAAGCAGCAAAATCAGGGAGCTACACGGGGTACAGATTGTATTTGTCGTAAGTGTGGAAGGGATTGTCACTCTCAAATTGGCCTTCTCAGCCACACTAGACGCTGTTCCAAGTCCTCCATGCAGAGCACGATACCATAGTCTCTCATGACTGAAGGATGCCTATGATGATTCCCGTTATGGGGACATGTTTCTTACAGGAATAATTTTCTTGCAGGGTTGCACAGAATGGCCTAAAGTCAACATACCATCAGCCAAGGAAAGTGGTGCACTAGTAAAATGCTGCTAAATTTTCCAGCTGTGGAAGCCCTAATGCATGCAGGTGCTAATGCACATTTCATTGGGAGTAAATCTGCTAGTTAGGAAGGAATTGACATTGTCACATGGAACAGTGGGCTGGAGTTCTTCTAAGCTAGTGTATCTGCTCCCAACAAAGGGCTGCAGTTGAAGATTTGCTACCTGGGAAGAAGTAGAATTGGAGATGTTAAAGGTCAAGCCAAATCTCTCCTTTGGTGCAAAAGGATAAGTTATGGTGTTCTGACTGAAGCTTTTTATGGTACAAAATTCATAACCACAACAAACAGTGGTAGAGAACTCTGGCAACAGGAAAAGCAAGGAGCTTATCAGAAGGGAGCTATACAGTGTGAACTCACCCTAAAGGATTAAAATTACACTCACATATACATACATTCCAAGGCCACTGCTCAGGAAAATATTTGATTCCTACAATCTTAGGAGTGCAGCAGGAAGAAATAAGTCAGTTACTTTCTTCCAAAAGTGACTATGCAATATAAGAATGAATGTGGGTAATGTTTGTATTCCAAGGATTTTTTCTCTGTATTCTCAAAGGCTTCCTTTTCTCTCTTTAAACAAACATATGATTTTGATTCTGCAATTCTGCATGTATTGTGTGCTGCTTTTCACTCTCCTTCTCCTCTTTGCATTGCTGTACAGCTTTTTCCCCAAGATTATTTCTTAGTTCCTAAAGTAAATAGCTGCCAAGTATCACCCATACTTCAAAAAACATATTATTTATTTTTTGGGGGGATTGTACAGAATAAAAGGAAAAACAACCCAAGAAAACCACATAGGAAAAATACAAAAATGGGAGATGGAATTAATAACATTATTAATTTAACCAATCTTTGGGATGGTTACTTTTCGCCTGTGCAAGCCTAGCCGACAAATAATTGTCTTTAAACCCTTGCACACCATTATGCCTGGTGGAACAGATGTTTTCTACAGCCTACCATAGATGCCAGTTTTCTGTCTCTGACTTGTTTTCCTTCCCCTCTAGATTAATGATGAGATGAAACAGGCAGCAAGCTTTGCAAATACGTTTGTACACACATAAAGAAAAGAAAACCCTTCCTCTTTGGGCATTTCAATACTCTTTTGCAAAGAATGCAGAACAGCTTGCAACAAGCTGGTATCAGGAAAACAGGAAAGCAAGGGATTTCACTCACATTTTTTTGCATCCCCAGCAATGGCAATTTTTGCTGCAAAAATCAAACTTGACAAGAATTCCATGATAGCTTTCCACTAGACCACCCAGGACACCTTTAGACACCATCCAGAAACTTTTTAAAATGGAGGCATGATTTGTGTACACGACGGGCCCTTTCCAGCCCACCGCCTTCATGAGGTCAGTTCTATCCAGGCTAAAAGATGGTTTCCAGCAACATATTTAATAGTCATGTCACAGGTGGGCTATGCTTTAATTTTACAATGTGATGCTCACTTTCTTCATATCCTAAACACACGAATTACATCTATTAAAGGGCTTCTAAATACCAGTTTCTTACCCTCACACGGACCACCTGAGTGACTGAAGGCTCGTTTTCCCGCAGAGCCCCCAAATAGGAATCCTTTTGGAAAGTGGGGATATTGTCATTCACATCCAGAACATTGATCCTGACTCTTCCTGTTGTCTCTTCTCCACCTCCATCTCTGGCAATGACCGTCAAAGTATAGCGTTGGGTTGTCTCAAAATCAAGCCGACCGATCAGTGTGATTATGCCTGTGTCCTTATCTAATGAGAATCTGAAGAACACAACACAACAAAACAAAACAAAAACCCAAGCACAGAGAATTTAAGGAATCCTGCCAAGCATACTATGCCAGGTCAGTCTGTTGAATAAATACTGGATAATAGCTATGTCAACTGTTCATATTGCCCATGCTGTAGTCATGACCAAGGGACATCCTTATGCTCAGCTGAGCAAGGCAGGCATCCTTAGCAAGGCTGTATTAATCATAAGGCTGACTAGGCTGAAGCCTAGGGGTCTTGCAGGGACGAGGGTTCTGTAGCTGACTTTTCCATAATTAATTAACTTTTTGTGGCGGTGCTCCAGGGCTCCAATAGATAAAGGCACGTTGTACTCTGTGCACTAAATACCTGAAAGCCTAGGGGCCCAGCCATGAGTTAATGCTTAGTTCATAATATAAGCATGTAGCAGCCAGGGATGCTGGCATGTCTTTCGGCCCGAGTCCCAAGTCCATGCCTGTATCTTTGGTACCAAGTCCTGAGTCTTAAGCCCCAAACCTGAGTCCCTAGTAAAAGCAAACCCTCCATTTTCTCCCCAGGAAAAAAGGAAGGGGTGGGTGGGTTCCAAGTCGTGAGTCGAGTCAGAATCATTGAAAAAAAAAACTGAGCTAAGTCTGAGTCGAGTTACCACTGTGACTTAAGTCTGGCTAATAGGGAGTGCTGTGACTCGAGGAACTCATGGGCCTAAAGAGACTTAGATATGTCAACACTTATATAACTCCCACTGATTTAATGGTTCTATTTTTTTGGAACTAACAATGGGGCTTGAGTAATAATTTATAACTATTTTCCTTTGGCCTCTACCTTTCTTGCTTGCTCCTTGCTCTGCTACAGTATTGCTTCCCTCCTTCCTTCAACTCTATTTTTCTTTCCCTGATAACAAAACTTGTCTTACCATGATGTGACAAAAGGCAATGGCTAGGCTTGTCAGGTCATCAGAAACCCATTCCTTGAGATGTCAGGGTGAAAAACCTGACAGCAGGGAGTGGGTCCTTCTAATGCTATAGGAGAGAGTCCTTGTGATGTAACAGAGGCAGGGAAGGGCTGGTATGGAATAAGTCCAATACACACAGTGAGCAGCAGGGAACCTTGCTGCCAGCTGGAAGTGGTTGGAGATGGTGCACATGCTTTAAGGCACCTGACACACATACACAGCAAAATTTTTCCTCCTCAAGCACTGCTTCACTCCAGATTTATCTCCCTGCTTAGAGACCTGGAGAAGCAAAGCAATGTCTTGAGATTCCAGATGACACATTGAGACTTGGCAATCATCAATCCAATCCAATACAAGCACTTTTTTTTTACCTTGACAAAACTCCATTTTCCAGAGAACTTATATGATAATATCAAACAACTATGACAAGTTGAGAGTATGGCTTTTAAATGGGCACAGAAAGAGAAAGAAAGGGAAACCACTTCTAGGTACACATTTCCTAGAAAACCCTGGAAATGGTCGCAATAAATCAGCATTTATTTGATGGCACATAGTTATTATTAACTGATAACACATCAGTAAGATTTAGACTACTGACAGTGTAAGTCAACATCACCTCAGAATGAAGTGGGGCGAGCTCACAGCATAGCACCTACCTGTCAGGATCATCACTGAAATAGTAGTTGACCTTTCCATAAGAGCCCACATCATTGTCTGTTGCCTAAAAACAACAATAAACAATGGTAGTAATGAAAATATTGCAGAAGAGTGAATTTAACTCTAACCTTGAAAGAAAATCCTAACTTTTCCAGCATATTAAAAATTATTGTGATAAAACATAAGGTAGTCAACCTAGCATTTAGTAGACATACAACAGAATAATGAATTCTACTTATAATACATATTGGCTGAAATCCTGGTGCTTAGCATAATAAGTTGCAACCAGAGTAGACCCACACAATCAGTGGGGATTTGGTGAGTCAACTCCTCCATAAGTTCCATTGATTCATGTGGGCCTATTCTAGTTGAGTCTTCATGGTTTTGAGTCTAGGATGCTGAAAAGAATCAAAAGATTGCAAGGACTGGTTTTGCCACAGATGGAGATTGCAAGAGAAAACTGCAAGGACAAAGATGGCCAACAAGTGTGCTATTTACACAAAAAGATAAGTTATACAGGGTTAATTCCATCTTCAATTGCAAGTCATTAAAAAAAATCCAATTTCCACACTTACTGAAATGATACATAATAATCAAACAGGCTTCAATCCCCAAATGGAAACTTACATCAAATATAAGATCAATAATAGACATTTTGGAATATTATGAAATACATCCAGAAAAACAAATGATGTTGATCATTTTAGACGCGAAAAAGGGCTTCGATAATGTGAATTGGGAATTTATGCTTGTAACGGGCAGCCAAAACATCACCTGTCCGTCACAGCTGGGCAGTGAGTCATCAGCCAATGGTGTGACGGAGGGTGTAACTTAAGGGGAGGAGCTGGTATAAAAAGGGGGTTGAAGAGTGTGTGAGGGCAGATAGAGATGGAGTTTGAGATGAGTTTTTGAGCTGAGGGTTTACAGTGATTGTTAGTGATAGTGAGTGAGAGAGCCTGTCAGTAAACAGAAGACTAAAATTAAAGTAAATGGTCAACAACTGAAGACATCCAAATCGAGCAAGGCACAAGGCAGGGCTGCCCTCTATCTCCATTGTTATTCATTCTAAGTTTAGAAATTCTAAATAGACAAATAAGAGAAAATAGTGCAATTAGAGGCCTCAGAATCAGGGGAGAAGAATATAAACTACAAGCATACGCAGATGACCTAGCACTGATATTAGAAAATCCCCTGGATAGTATGGGAGAACTATTGGGAATAATAGTAACACTTGTCCTTTTATGATTCTTTACGGATAAGTTGGTGGCAGCAGAGATTTTAAATTAAAGTAGCAACCACTCTCTGAGGTTTGAGGGTGGCTGTTACAATGCTATTGCAATTAAAGAAGAAGGGGCAGAAGGGAATTTTTTTACAAGCAATTAAAGCAATATACACTAAATAGAAGACTAAGATTAAAGTAAATGGTCAACAACTGAAGACATCCAAATCGAGCAAGGCACAAGGCAGGGCTGCCCTCTATCTCCATTGTTATTCATTCTAAGTTTAGAAACTCTAAATAGACAGATAAGAGAAAATAGTGGAATTAGAGGCCTCAGAATCAGGGGAGAAGAATATAAACTACAAGCATACGCAGATGACCTAGCACTGATATTAGAAAATCCCCTGGATAGTATGGGAGAACTATTGGGAACAATAGAAGAGTTTGGAGCTGTTGCAAGACTTAAAATAAACTATCAACAAACTAAATTCTTGACTAAAATATGAACAGAGAAGATGTGGAAAAATTGAAAATGGAAACTGGCTTTGAGGAGGTATAAAAGGTCAAATATTTAGGATTCATCATTGGAAGATTGGAAGAAGCTACAAATCTCAATGATAGGATGAATCTCGATAATAAAGATGAATATTTTACCAAAATTGCTATTTCTATTTCAAAATCTACCAATATTACTAAATTATAAATACTTTATCTAGAAATCTGTCTGGAAGGCCAAAAAGCCAAGAATAAAACTCAGAGGACTAGAGAGAGGAAGACTAGGGCTGCCGAACTGGCTATTATACTACAAGGCCTACAGTATGGTTTGGATAAAAGAATGGATAACAATAGAAAACCAAAGACTT